ACACTTGCTTTCGTTTTCCGGATGGTTTGTAAGAGCTGGTTTAGTAAGCCTGCCAAATAAACAGCACAGTTTTAATTACCATGCGCAACCCACAAGTTGATTATCTAATTATTAATCTAGTTTCAAGAAAAACACCACTCTCTGGCCCAATTTCAAACCACACCCTACCCACTCCCACTCCGTGTCGAGTGACACTCACAGCTAAATGAGGCTCCCTCCTGTCAGATGGAGGGTGTAAATCATACATGCTATGGAGTAAATACAGCGGCAAGCTTTGGAACAAACTCCCCTCTCTTCGGCAGAAACAGGAAATCCTGTAACTGTAACAACGGTTTCAAATCAGCATCTCTTGGACAAAATAAATAAATAAATAACTAAAATAAAACATCTTTAATTGTGTTACTTTTTTGTAAAGCTCTTTTAGTTTTAAACCTGATGTTTATAAGCTTCTTAGTTTTTGCAACAGTCTGTAAATATACACAACTTTACAATACAATTCACACATTTAACTTTTTCTAGACTAAACACATACGATCCTAAGTAAAAAAAAAATGAGGTTATCATGAGGTTGTTAACATCGCAATTTATCAGTGGATGTTTGCTGGAACGACTTGTACAGAACTCAGCTGCCAGGGTTCTCACACGCACCAAGCCCTGGGAGCACATCACCCCCACTCTATTCAACCTCCACTGGCTCCCGGTCAAGTCCCGCATCACCTACAAACTCCTCCTCCTCACCTACAAATCCCTCCATGCCCTCTCCCCGCAGTACCTCACAGATCTCCTCCACCCATACATCCCGTCCCGCACCCTTCGATCCTCAGACTCCGGCCTGCTCTCCATTCCCCATTCACGCCTCCGCACCTTCGGGGACCATGCCTTCAGTGTCGCTGCCCCCACCCTCTGGAACTCCCTCCCTGCAGAAATCCGCAACGCCCCTTCTCTCAACATTTTCAAATCAACCCTTAAAACTCATCTGTTCAACATCGCCTTCGAACAATAACTCACTCCACCCCCCCCCCCACTTACACTTCCATTTCTGCCCCCTGTTTTATGTTTTTTTAGTCCTTGTATGTTTCTTTGTAAAGCGACCTTGAGGTTATGAAAGGCGCTATATAAATTCAAGTTATTATTATTATTATTGTAAACAGCTTGTTTCCTGACGGACACACACAGCATTGAGTCCGGTCATGTAGTGCAGCAGGTGCAACCCAGTCTCACGGCATTTCGTGTTTTAGTGACAAAATTAATTTAATCTATTGATTCGTGTTCACCAACACGATTTTCGCATTTTTTTCGTGTGTCACACAGAGCGATTTTAAAAGCAATGTATTTCTATTGGTAGTATGTTTCGTGCCTGCACCATGTCTTTTTGTCCGGTAGGGTATTGGAATATCAGAAGCTGTGTGGTTCATAAAAACATTTTCTTACTCAATATCTTACCCTAAGCCTAACCCTATCCCTTTTATTTTAAATAGTATAATGTCGGAGTTTTTTTGCTCTCCGCGAGGAAAATAAATGGGGCTCAGAGCCTCAGAATACTGAAATCTGTATTTTTTGTCATCTTTTTTTCTTTCTAATTTATTATTATTTGGTGCAGGCACGAAACATACTACCACTACCACCGGTCTCGGTAGCATTCCAAGGAGCCAGGACATTGGAACAGTCCTTCTGTGGGACTCGATGACGTAGCATCCTTGAAATAGTGGCTCTGGATCATCCTTCCTTGACATTGAGAAACACCCTCAAACTACAGTTTTATATCCAGCGGACTACATGGATGTATAATAAGAACGGCGGACTCAGACCCGGCGCCAGAACAAATCTACAGAGAGAGCATATGATTTTCATGGGAGGGCACACAAAACCGTCATGTGCCACGGCACAATATTGTATCAAACAGCATGGCCAACAGCATGGCCAACAGCATTGCGTAAAGACGCACACCTATCGCAAATAAATACACAAATAATGGGCAACATAGAAACCACATTTGAAACATTGTGTGCGTGGCGGCACAAACACTGGTAACTCATGAGCAAGGCACACATTTGAAATAAAAACATAACAGCAACAGCTTTGCTGGGCCTTAAACTTGGGCAACCGTTGACTGGAGCAGCAAACATAATAATACAGAGCGACACCACATTATGCAGTGCGTACTAGCGTAACTCAGCCCCGGGGTTGCCGAGGTCAAGCTAGTAACATTAAGGCGATGAAAGAACTGCAGCTGATGGTGCTGCTGGCGACCTTGCACCTGCCGTTGCAGCAGCACCATCGGCTGCAGTTCTTTCATTGCGATTCATTTTGAATAAATCCTTAGACCTACTCGTGGTTTTAAGCCAATTTCTGACGTCCATTTTGTAATTTAAAACAGAAATGGGAGTCTACAGAATGCACAATAAAAATCACAAAAGACACATTAATTTATTTGACGTAGCCTACGATTTTTTTGTAGTTACTATCTGACATCACATACATCGTAGCATTAAACTTCACAGTTTATTTATAATAAAAATAAATGAAAAACATTTTTTATTTTATTTTTATAAATAAAAGAAAACGTGTTTATTGGGGGAGGGCAGGAATGTCAAATGGGAGGGCCTGGCCCTTTCTGGCCCTCCCACGGCGCCGGGTCTGGCAGACTACTGTATATACGCATCAAGAACACTTTGCACCGTGCTCTATGGGGTTGTTTTATGCTTTATAAACGTGGATAACAGAGAAACATATTCTTCATGAACGAGGTTGGAATTTAAATAAAAAAGGAAAGTGAAACTTATGCTTGTCACCCTCCGGTCCACACGTATTAATCCACATGAATCCCAATACGTATGATTGTATGAAAATATCTTAAAATAAATACAAATGTATTTATTATAAAGGTGTTAGCCCTTAACATCTATCACTGTGTATATCACCATTATTAAAACATATTTTAAAAGTTTAAGAAACCCCACACAGCTGACTGAGCTGAGTAAACACTATGAAATGTTAACTGAATTTGATCATTTCAGTAAAAAAGTAACGTTCATATTTCTCCTTGTGATTATTATAGTGTTGAACATTCAAAACAAAGCACTTTGACAAGTTACCACATAAGTTGTAAAATGCTTAATAAGCACTGTAACTTTCATGATATCATTTCTCGGTCATAATCGGTTGTTTCCGTGAACGGCCGAATGTTGTATGACGGTAAATGCTACGGCCGCAAGGCATTGTGGGATAGCATTTTCTCCTTTTCTTTCGTAAAGGAAGGGAGTGGGTTATCAAGCCCTCAAACAGCGAGTCTGCATCGGTGCTAACTTCACCTGCTGCCCTACCTGACCGGACTCAACGCTGTGTGTGTCTGTCATGAAACACGCTGTTTACAAACAGTTCCTGCAAACATTCACTGATACATTTTATTTTAGTTATTCATTTTATTTTTTGTCTAAGAGATGCTGATTTGAAATCGTTGTTACATACAATTACGGCATTTCCTGTTTCTGCCGGAGAGAGGAGAGTATGTTCCAAAGCTTGCCGCTGTATTTACACCATAGACTGTAGATTTACACCCTCAACCTGAAAGGAGGGAGCCTCGTTAAACTGCGAGTGTCACTCCGCCACGGAGTTCACTCCGTCACGGAGTGGGTAGGGTGTGATTTGGAATTGGGCCTAAACTAAACTGACAATTCGACTGCAGCCTCGCTGTTTGAGGACTTGATAACCCACTCCCCCTCCACACTCGTTGGTTTGGAACAACACTTAATGTGGCGGACCCTCCGCGCGAATGCGCAAACGGAGGGGTAGTGGGTAGTGGGTGGGGCGCGCAGACGCATGACAGGTAGTGGGTAGGGTATAGGGGGTGGATTGGAATTGGGTCATAGTCTCCCGCTCCCTTACCAAATGAATGGCTGAGACTGTATCGTCAGGAAAAAAACACCCACATGACTGAAAAGACATACATTCACTAACCCTCTGGCTGTGCTTGTTTTTCATTGACACTGCATGTGTTCCTATAACAAACAACTCTGCAGGAATCAAATATGAAGCATTGGAATGATGTTTAAAAAGGGATCAAATATCAAAACTAACTTTTACATAACTTCCTTCGCCGTAGAAGTGCAAAGTGTTCAAAGATATCCACCTAGCACCCAACAAATGGCCTATAATATAAATGTCCTTTTAGATTTTAGACCAAACAGCTGTGTAGGTTGCTATTTTAGCAGTAAGAAGATAGGAGTTAAATTAACTTGCTCACTCTGTAGGGTGTCATACAACAGCCTATACAGTGTGAGAAAGTATGAGTTATTGTTTAGTCTATGAGGGCTGTGTTTCTTGGAATTTTGTTATAATATCATCCATGTGTACATAAACCAGATCAGATTATACTTTGGCACAAATCATGTGATATTTGATACCAGCCGTGTTAAAACCAACAAATGATTTCCCCGACAAGTATAAACCAATAAGCAGGAAACATTTAAGAGCTGCAGCTTGGTGAAAAACAGTTTAACAACAGAGGCTGTGGCTGTGATAGAGATCTCGTTATGTTAGCCTCTGCAAAGCATACAAAGCAGATCAGTGCAGAAATGTGTGTGTTGCTGTTTGTGCACTCACGCATACACATGCATGTGTTACCAAAGCCGTCGTAGTTTGTGAAGTGTGTCTTTGCTTGGCTCAGGGTTCTGTGCCCTACTTTCCACCTCTCATGATCACCAGGGATGTGTTTGTTCCCTCAGTGAATTACCTTACCAATCCAGGTCAAGACGTTAGCAGGCAGGCATGCATACTGAAGCCTACAGTGCTAGCCCTGCTTTGCTCTGATGAAAAGATCACACAGATCCCTTGCTGCTCTCTGGTGGCCAAAACGTGCACTTTATGTCCACTCCAAAATTACAAGTCGTGTTTCAGTTAAGAACTTAATAAGACGTTACATTTAGTATCAATTAGCGTTCACATAAATTATTAACAACAATTAACAAACATGGACATTGGTCTCATTTTCTCTCCCTCAGGACTACGAGTACCCCAACCACCCTCAGTCCACACAGCACCAGAAGAATGACCGGTGTCCACCGCCTCCCCAGATGCTGCCAGAGAGAGCCTGTGAGGTGCCGGGCTGCCGCTCAGACTCAGAGTGTGAGCGCCATAAACGCTGCTGCTACAACGGATGCATCTACTCCTGCTTGGAGTCTGTCCAGCCACCACCAGGTCAGCAACACCTTAAGACACATGCGGACACATACAAGTGTTTGCATCTTAATCTACTTGGAAATTGGTCCATTATTGTTTCTCTGTTTGAAATGATGTTAACCAGCATTTTATTGGCTGTGGTTCTGTGTTTTCTGAACAGTGTTGGACTGGCTGGTGCAGCCCAAGCCTCGGTGGTTAGGGGGCAATGGCTGGCTGTTAGACGGGCCTGAAGAGGTTCTGCAGGGTGAGTACTCACACGTATATTGGGACTTGTAGCTCAATGGTCAACCAGCATGACTTTAAAAAACTCTTACCTAACTTCTCAAAATTAGAATGCATCTTCGGACTTCCCAAACAGAACAAAATAGGTTTTTGTTTGATTTTACCATAGCTTTACTCACCTGTCATGTCAAGGTAAAAGTCTTTTTTCGAGTCTATCCTCTTGAACTACAACATCAAGTCTCATATGATCCCTGTGAATAAAATCCATATGATGACATTACACCGCATATATAAAAAAAAACGGGCTATTCTCTCGAAGTTTGCAGAGTTTGGATGCTATAAATTTGAGTGAGAAATGTATACATAGACATGACAGGTTAAAGGAGGTAAATATAAAAAAGTAATGTACTAACCACATATTCAACAAAATGACACTGGTGTGTTTCATGCCCAATAGCTGAGGCCTGCAGCACAACGGAGGATGGAGACGAGCCTCTTCACTGTCCTACGGGTTACGAGTGCCACATCATCAACCAAGGAAACCCTGCAGCAGGCATCCCAAACCGGGGACAGTGCATCAAGCAACGTGGCAATTCAGGTACGGCTAAACTATACTTCTGTTAACTTAAATAGCTGAATGGTTGACAATGGCAATGTGTTATAGCGTTGAATCCAGGCCTTTGACATACCTAATTCCCTATCTTAATTTCAGCAGGATGCTGTGAGGGGCCACGTTTTTCCTATTAAAACGATCTTAAAATATACAAATTGGAGTGACTTTTCAGAACAATGCCTGAACTTGTGATCTATAGCTAAGGGGTTGGCTTAAGTACAATGTCTACCATTTGGAGATCAGGTTTAAGTCTCTTATTTTGTATTCCCATTTTGGCCTTATTAAAGATGGACGTGGTCTGAGGCACAAATACTACAAGGACTACAAGGACTACTTAGGTAAGTGAGGTAATGTAGACTAGCTGAAAACCTTTACTTTGACCAAATCAGTAATAAGTGCCAATCTGCCTGACATGATGATGGGTCTTTCACTGACAGGTACCAGCTCGAGCAACGCAGTGCGCTACGAAAAACATCACCAAAAGCACCTTGGATGAAGTATGTTTCCAGCCACTTTAAACTATCAAAAACCAAAGACCAAATGCACCTGTATCTCCCGCTCGACAAAGCCTTATGTTTTCTTAATTATCTGTTCTCAGATCAACCTGACCTCAGACTCAGCTACGACCATAACTCAACTTCAGACATCAGCCCAATTCTGTTCAATCATCTTTCACCACACCTGAACCAGGATCAGATTTGACCGTTTTCCATGGCCTACAGTTGCTACCTCCTCTTTGCAAAGCCCTGTATTTCAGCCTGACCTCCACCTTTGGGAGAGAAGTCTGATATATCTACAATACACAGCCAAAGAAATAAGTGTTTTTCTTCTGTCTCTCTGCCTGGTGTTTGTTAATGAATGGAGTAGAATGTGTTGGGTGTGCACCAAAGCTGTTCATCAAATGTCTCAAAAGGAACCAATGCCATTTTTTGTTTGTTTATACACAACCCTCCCTCTCCCTGCAACTCTTTCTTATTCTTGAAATCACACCCTCTAACCTTGAGGCTGGTCAGCAGAAACAATCTAAACCATGCGGGTGTATTACTTATATTTCTGTATTTTTTTCATATGGACGGTGCTCAAATGTCCTGATCTGTAATCTGGAACGTTTTATTGACAAATAGAACAACTTCCAGCTGCAGTGGTTCTCATTGTTAAATTAAAACCAAATGTTTTTTAATATTCAGACTAATTAATCAGAATGTGTCCAATAACTGTGTGGATTGTGTCAGTTTGAAAATATTTGGAACAGCTGTAGATAGTAATGGCCAACAGATGCTGACTGTTACTTCAAAATAAGATACAATTGTTTCGTCTGTAATTTGATACTGAAAGGTAGATTAGGGGTTAATTTTGCAATCAAAACAAAAATGGATGTTTTATATCTGTGAATAATGTCCTGAAATTAATTTAATGCAGTTAGATTGTTGGAACATTTTATAATTTTAAGTAATTATATAACATTATTTAAAAAATACTTGGCTTTCTACACTATCTCATCCCCTGTTGCAGTGCGGGAAAGGGCTTTTGCACAGAGCAGATGTTTGAAACTGGTCAAAAATCTTCTATGTTACTATTAAACTTTACTTGCATGATCAAATCGCTATTGTCTTTGTTATAAATGCAAGTGATGCTCACTTATATTGCTGCCTATAATAATACCAATAGGATAAAAAGCTGGTCACATAATAGACTGAGGGGTCAAACTAAAAGCTGTTAACCATACTCTGTGTGCAGAGCTAAAGTGGAGTCTGATTGTTATCTGACTGGTGCTGTCATGTTGCCTTGATTATTCTAAATAAACCATATTGTTGAAATTAGTTTTGTGATGTTTTTCTGGTAGAGTAATTATTTTTTAGCAGTAGAAACAAATTTGAGATGAATAATGAGTTGAATTTGTAGAAATTCTATGTAAAGACCGAAAACATGAGGGATTTTGTTTTTGACAGTTTCAGGATATCCTCTAAAACAGTGGTTCCCAACCTTTTTTCCCAAGAGCCCCCCCAAATGACTCCTGTTGGAAGGGCCGCCCCCCCCCACACCACACACTCACAGGGGGGACGGGGGGGGCGGTAATTTTCGTTAAAGGAGGATGAAAGCGTAATTAAGGAGCACTATTGGAGTGACTTTGATGGTTATTGGACTCAGGATTAATTAATTTGGATTCCCGCTGTATGAAGAAATTAAAGGACGGCACAAGTGGAAACAATTCACAAAGGGATTAAACTGTTTAAAACACATGCTCAAAGGAAGCCGGATTTTGCCGATGTGTTTATGTGGATTCAAAAGTCGTAAATAATCTAAATGGAGGAGACCGATCTGATCGGAGCAACTGTGACAAATAATCCAACTGAAACCGGCATGGACAATGACTATATGTTTTAAAAATGCGCTTATCCAGCAAAGCCTGGTTTTGACACTTTACGGGCAGAAGAAACATTTCTATCAAAGAAAAAATTATACATTTTTGTATTTTTATGCCTTTAATAGCTACTAACTTGAATTTGTATTCAAATGAATTTTGCTTTTAGTGACAATCATGTATTGAGTTACAATTATATGTAAAAAAAAATAAAATAAAAATCTAAATATGATATTTGGCCTCAAATCATCTGAGGCCTGGCGCCTCAAGGGGGCGCGCCCCCCAGGTTGGGAACCACTAATCTAAAAAGTCAAATTTCCTTCTGATTAATCTAAATAGTATTCCAAACAAACCACATCATATGAATTCAGTATTATGCGTCATCAATTGAATCATCTGACCTTACAGTGTCTTAAAATTGTTTGCAACAGTATGAAATGTAGTCTTTTTTATACATTACATTTAATTTAGCTGATGCTTTTATCCAAAGCAACATCAAATAAGTGCAACAAAGCATAAAGATACAAACTCAGAACAACAAGAACAATGCAGTTTATTATTAGTAGGGTGAATCCATCCAGTGATCCATCCCATGTTTTTTATTTCTATATCATTCTTTCTTCTGGTGCAGTAGGCTATAGGCCACAGGGCATACATTTAAAACCAAATAATTAGGCCTAAAGGGCAACCATTTCAACATTCAGATCTGCATGAACCTTTTTAACATATGAATATAAGAGAACATGTTGTATAAGTATGCATCTGCATGTGGAAGTTAGAAATCCTTGTGTAAAACTAAACTTTGTACATTCAGGAAATGCTTTGTTATTGCAATGCTACACCGACATGTGGAAAATCTATAGCCCAGTGGGTGCCTGTCTCTCCTTTTGTCTAGCTCTCTCTCACCCTCTCCCCTCTCTCATAGCAGCGCTAGCACGGACGTAAGCACCTGCCTAAAAGCTGCGTCAGAGGGGAAAAAAGCAGAATCAAATTGTCAGTGAGTACATAGTGTGGCGAGTATAACAGCCATTGTTTTTGTATAAACCGGTGATGGTAACGCTCCGCAGCACACAGGCAGTGTTAGCACCGGGTCGGATACTTCAAACAAACTATTGGGCATGTCGCGCGTGACTGCCTCATCACCGCCACCTTGTTGATTTATTTCACCATGAGTGCGCCGAACAAATCATCCGACAAAAGGTTAGTGCGGAATTCTCCTGTAAGTAGGCTATGTGGAAGATAAATGTTCGTAGTTTGTTTATCTTCAACACAATGTTGTTGTGGTGTTTGTATCTTTCAGTATAATAATGATTTAAACTATAGCCTACATATTTTCATAGTTAGCAACATTTTTATTTTATGTCAAGTAGCTACCATTCAAAAATGTTGGAAACATCCACTTTTGACACCCCCATTAACTAGGCAGAGGATCTCAATGTGTTTAAAATGATACCAACATGTGCCCAGAAGGTGTCAGTGTAGTTTATGCAAAAGGCTGCACTAATGAAAAATGTTCTTACAGTTGTGACTCTATCAACAATGTAAGTATTCTAAACATTTAAATATGCTTTTCATCTCAGTCAAGGTCATGGGCAGCAAGGACAATATTGGCTGCATTTTACAAATGTGTTCACTTTTTAACAGTGACATGATACGCTTAACATAATTTAACACTTTTATTCATATGTTTCCATCCATAATATTGAACATAATTCCTTGTGCGCAAACATTTTTGACTAAAATGTCTTCTATTATACAGAATTGGCTCCAAAACTAAGCTGGAACGGCTACTAAAGGAGAGAAAAGGCACCTTTCCACTGCTGATCAAGGTATGAGGATTACTATTACTTTCTGACTAATCTATAGTATAATGTGCTTAGTACGTTTTTTGATAGGCTTGAGTTCAGTTATTTTCTTGACAACCTGACCGGTTCACTACTATAAGTTAAGTGGTGGTCATGTTTCTGTTTGGCTCCAAGCAACCCTACACCCTGTGTTGACCTCCAGGCCATTAAACAAATGTTATTTAGGAGATTGTGTGCACTCAGCGGAAGTGATTTATTAGGGAACATACTCTACCTTGTGATGTTGGCCTGCACCACTGAACCATTTGAGAGAGGTGGGAAGAGTAGACATACCCAACCTGGAGCCATTACAAGGCAGTCACTATACTGTATGTACTGTATATGCACTGACATCACCTAGCCCAGTCGTCTCTTCTTCCTAGAGAGTTTCACAACTCCAGCTCTGCCCTAAAAGGACCCATTCACGCAGCAGTGGACCGATTCTCACTCACTCAATAGGGTTTCAAAGCCCCTAAGATCTCGCTCACTGATTTCCTTTGGGACACTTTTGTACTTACTGTTGATTAAACTTTGAATACAGTTCGGAACATCACATGAGGCAGGACAGTCCACTGCAGCAGGAAAGACTGAAACCGTTTGATGTGGAACACTATGCAGGACTGTGCCGGTCACCTCAGTCTAAAGCTACCTCTGCTCAAACAGAGACGCTTTGATGTGGAAATAGATGAATAGAGTGGGAACACAATGTAGATAACATATGAATATTGGGCAACAGGGGCATCATGCAGACAACATAAAATGTGTGTGTGTGTGTGTGTGTGTGTGTGTGTGTGTGTGTGTGTGTGTGTGTGTGTGTGTGTGTGTGTGTGTGTGTGTGTGTGTGTGTGTGTGTGTGTGTGTGTGTGTGTGTGTGTGTGTGTGTGTGTGTGTGTGTGTGTGTGTGTGTGTGTGTGTGTGTGTGTGTGTGTGTGTGTGTGTGTGTGTGTGTGTGTGTGTGTGTGTGTGTGTGTGTGTGTGTGTGTGTGTGTGTGTGTGTGTGTGTGTGTGTGTGTGTGTGTGTGTGTGTGTGTGTGTGTGTGTGTGTGTGTGTGTGTGTTTCGCCAGGGTCAACTGTGAGTACTTTATTTTGGGAATATTGTTTGCTCAGAACCTTTTGACATTATAATAGAGTTAAATAACGGGAAAAGTTTCACCTCTTGGAAAATAACAATCAGGGCTCTGTGAGCTACTTTTTCTTTACCTGCTATTACACGGTCATTATTTAACTTCTCACTAAGAGCTTTGAGTGTATTCTACACAGGGCTGCCAGAAAGCACTCGGGGGAGGCGGGTGATGGAAAGATCAAATAAACAAAGAAAAATAAGGAAAAAGAGAGTAACAAAAGTAAACGGCATTCGAGGGTCCGTTCACCTCAGTGCACCTATTGTGCATTTTGAGTACAGACAAGTTACGCCCAATAGATTTGCTCAAGTACTGTACCACAGTACCATATTTCGTAATTGTTTTAATTTGAACATTTAAATGGCATGTTACTTTCCACTTCTACTCCACTGCATTTCAAAGGAAGTATTGTACTTACTTAGCAAGTTCAGATTTATGAAAAACAAGTGATCAATTATTTCAGATTAAACTATCCAACATGACACAAAGTAGTTAAAATGTGAGGTCACTGTCACTTTAAAATGTCTCCTACATGAAAAGCATCAATAATAATATTTCAATAATATAAGTCATAATAAAAGCTTTTTACATGAAAGAAAAGGTATTTCACATTAATAATCGAAGTACAGTGTGATTGTAATACTGTTGTGCTATTCCTAAAGTAAGTAAGTACTTTGACTCAAGTATAACATCTGTGTACTTACTTAACAGAGGTATTAGCTGTGACTGACAGCAGGAGAGGGAGGTACAGACACTCCTCAGTCACCCCCGCTGGAGAGACAGATAGGGCCCGCTCGTCTGAATTGGACTGGCACTGTGTGTGTGTGTGTGTGTGTGTGTGTGTGTGTGTGTGTGTGTGTGTGTGTGTGTGTGTGTGTGTGTGTGTGTGTGTGTGTGTGTGTGTGTGTGTGTGTGTGTGTGTGTGTGTGTGTGTGTGTGTGTGTGTGTGTGTGTGTGTGTGTGTGTGTGTGTGTGTGTGTGTGTGTGTGTGTGTGTGTGTGTGTGTGTGTGTGTGTGTGTGTGTGTGTGTGTGTGTGTGTGTGGTGTGTGTGTGTGTGTGTGTGTGTGTGTGTGGTGTGTGTGTGTGTGTGTGTGTTGTGTGTGTGTGTGTGTGTGTGTGTGTGTGTGTGTGTGTGTGTGTGTGTGTGTGTGTGTGTGTGTGTGTGTGTGTGTGTGTGTGTGTGTGTGTGTGTGTGTGTGTGTGTGTGTGTGTGAGAAGGGGGCCTTTAAAAGAGGTCAAAAGAGGCCGATGAGAAACAGCAATAATATCCATCATGACAGAAAAGCGTAGATTAAAAACCAACCTCAAACTTTAGTATTCCAAGTTACATGTAGATATTGCATTATGCAGGGTGCGTTGACTGCTCTCTCCAGTGCTTAATCCCATCCTGGTACTTGTATTTGCTTTGAACTCAGCATTTCTTTAAAAGGCCCCCTATATTCTCATTAATAAGCAATGCAACTGCCAACAGATTATTAAACCTGATGACGT